GTCTATTCGTTCGGTAAGCCAATTCCTGATAGTTTCAGAATATTTTCGGAGACAGAGCCGTCATTAGTGGTTGCGGGCCCGAAACGAAGCCGTCTATGCCGGATCCTCCTTCAGAGATTTGTAAAATAATAATAAAAGACCAGAAACCTGTAAGTTTTATCCCACCGGCAGCAAGAGAGCGCATTCTTATATATGTTCTGGGAATACAAAGAAATTAATATATTTTAATATACTTTATGTTACATCTTCACTCGCTCGCCTCTCCTACAGAATGGTCCTGTTCGGAGGCTATGAAACTAGTGAATTTAGACAAACTAAAATATATCTATAGATGCAGATCTAGTACATTATCTCGGGATAATTTATACAATTTATGATTCCTATGGGAACCGCACAAAATGTGTGTGGTAACGTTTGATTTTGACCCTTGGCTGACAATTAATTTCGGAAATAGACGGAGATAAAAATTATAATTTCTGAAGTATTCATAGGATTTTGATAAATTATATAACCTATTCCGAATGTAAAGCTGTCAAAAGAACTGCATGTTCTGTTACGTCGCTCTATAAGTGTTCTGACCAGAATATGCCCGTTTTTCATTGTTTAATACAACACAAAAACTACCCGGTCCATCCTCGTAAAACTGAGCACAATTAACCTAAACTCAGAATCATAAGGAAACTCAATTTTGAGCCATATCGATCTGCCTGTGTTGTCAGCAGAAAAACCAACAATGTATTTTTATCAGTCAAAAAGTATATACATATGTATATGAGTACTATATTGTTAAACAGTTAAATAATTAAAATAATAAGCAGTGTCAAGAATAGAGTGATTTTTTTAGTTGCGCGTTGACTTTTTCACAAAAAAGGGCAACAGAATTCTCACTTACGAGATAAATACAAGTGCAATGTTGCATCGAAGGCGGCCGTGTCGTTTCCCGCCTCTTTTATGCTAAGTTTCTTCCATACATCTAACATGAGCTTATTTTTCGTTAAATAAATAATCCCGTGTTTCAGGTTTTGGGTCACTCACGTGGGCTGTGGTGGGCGAACTATTCGCTTCAAATGTAAAGAGCAATGGCTCGGCTATCACTGCCTCCTTTTGCTGGTTTATTGGCTTCTTCATAACCAAGTTTTACAGCAACCTGGCCGTTGAGCTTGGAAACCACTACACTTTCTGGATATTCGCTGCACTTACCGCCGGTTCAGGGGCCTTCGTATACCTGCTACTGCCGGAAACCAAAGGCAAATCTCTTCAAGAGATCCAAATCATTCTCAACAACTGAAGCAACGTTAAGGCGACTGTTTCAGTAAATTAATATTCTACACCGAGTAGCAATAAAACAATCTTAATACTGGACGTTGAGGTAGTTGACTCTGATATAATTACTTGTTGATAATTTCTGAAATTAATTAGAATGGTAAGATGTTGTTAAATCCTTGTACACATATTTTCCAAACTATTCCTTAATTTTCTACTTTGCCTGTAACTGAGTGAACTCAATGTGTTTTTGACTGAAGACATAAATATGCTGTTGCCAAAATAATAACATTAATTATAAATAGGAAGGGCTTGTAGCAGATGAAAGATGCGTTCTATACTTCAAAGAACACATGAAGGGAAGATACAACCTGGAAGACCTAGGAGTAAATGGGAGGGCAATATCGAAATTAATCTCAGAAAACAGGGTGTATGTACAAGCGTGGGCAAAATTCATCTGGCCAAGAAGTATTCACTGTGACGAGGAGTTTATCTTCTATGGAAAAAAAAAAGATCTGAGACCGCAGGTTACTTAAATTGACAATCCCCAATAATAAAAATAAACTTTATCAAAATAGAGTAGATATTTCAGGAGACAAAATAGGCGTGAGTACGAATAAATACGACAATCGCTTAACATATTCATCCTATATATTTTGTTCAAATATCGCTCAAAATGTATTACTTCTAAACGCTCCACGAAATTCAATCGGCATAAAAACTTTCTTTATTAATTCTATTTTTATAATTATATGTATTAATAATTCATTAATGACGTTTTCAATTGCTAATATTATATAGCGAGGAATTATAGAATGATTAATGAATGAATTGGAAAGGAAGCGGTCGTGGTCTACTTTGAGGTATTATCCTGGAATTTTCTGGAGAAATGAAGGTAAGCCACGAAAAACTTGTCACGATATCCAGTCTTCCGGCACAGATTTCAACTCAAGATATCCTTAATGTAAAACAAGAATGCTTATCACTCGACCAAAACTTTCGGCGTCTATTATAGGACGCATCTACTAACAGGTCTGCAGTGAAGACCAAATAGGGCCTACTTCATTTCTTGCTAATCAAAATCATGTTTTATGTCTATCTTTAAAGACTCTACTACGAAGACGCATGAAAACAAAGCTTTATGTAATCTCACTCTCCGGATACGATTGATTACGGTGCTGGTGTGTATAAGTTTTACTTTAATGTGTGAAGAAACATGAATGTTTGTTGCAAGTATGAAAACATGCTGAATAAATACTGGATGAACTTTCATCCAACTCACTGATCTGATCGTAACATTATGTAAATGTGCAAATGCTTGGATGTGGATGATATATGTCATTTCAACTTCCATTCTTGTTGACAGTTTATATCATCATTCAGACATGGACTTTGTGTGCTCTAGTCACATGATGAAATTTTAATATTATAATTTTACTACAGTTTGTATTATCATGCGTTACTGACGTCATACACAACATGGAATTAAAGATTAATAGCTTTTTAACATCTGGATGGGCGTTAAACAATAACATGTTCTAAGAACTTTTTGGCCGACAGTATTAAATCGGTAGTATCTACATCCGGTCGTGTAGAAATATGGGCGATACAATGAGATGTTTCAGTTTAATTGTAAAATATGAGACACATCATCACAATAACTACGATGACACTAACAATAACAATTTATTTTAACGATGAAATACTACTGTATTTTTATAACACTTTAGCCATCACTGCAATTGCAAAAATTCGTGGAATTAAATGAATGCTAGATGTAGGAGATACCTCATATGTAGGTTGAATAAATATAAAATTTAATAAAATATTATTTACAATTTTTTGTACCTATATGATAAGTTACCATGTTAACCGTTTACTTAGTTGTACTAAGCCTGTTCATTTTCATAATTATTAGGTATAATATATAAATAAGTACTGCAGAAATATATATGTCTTATTTCTGAAGTGCTAGTTTCAATGCGATTGCAAAAGGCTTGAGATTTATATGACAATTCAATGCTAATGTGGACCAATTATCACCCAAAAATAGAATTAATAATAATATGTAACTGGTTAATAATTATACCTTAATCCACTAAAGTAGGATTCTGGTATTTTATTGTATTTTTCGTATTATTTGGTTACTAGCAGTTTACCCGTCAAGAACGACAGAAAAGTCTTAAGCAGTAAACATGATCGCCTTGATAATTAAGTCAGCAAACACCTCTGAAACGTCGGTAAACTAACCAGAATACACGGAGTAAGATCCCAGAAGTCATCTCAAGAATGTATTCCCTTGCGGACGGAGCAAATCACGTTTTTTAAAACTTCTCTTCACGTCTTCTCCATAAGTTTTCAAAATCGGACTAGGTTATGTTTGATTATTTCGACTTAAATTGACCTAAGGAAAATTTCCTACAAATCTGTCAGGATCCTCCCAGTATACTGTCTATATTATAACAGACATTGTTTTATACGTAATGTATTAATATATAATAATTTATCTTAGTGTTTTTTTATTCTAAATTGTAAATTAACAGTCTTCAGTTTCGTCACTATACGTACTGAATAGCAGAACATGCAACGGACTGTTTGAAATCCTTCATTGTTCTTCAAACAACCAATCAGAAACAATAAAGGGGGGGGGGGAGAGAAGAGGGAAAGAAATATTATGCTTTTGAAACTCAAAATGTCGAAAGAACGAGCATATTACTTATACTTTCTCTTATATTAATACATGGTCGCGTTTCTGTGGTGCATTGCACAGTGCTGCCCTCTGTGATCTTTCGTCCTGATACAAATTCCGACCGAAGAGGCTTTGATCTCTCCATAATAAGGTGTATATAGTCCCTAGAGAACGAATGTGTATAAAGCATATAGGCCTACGTTTCATGTTGAACTCGAGAATTAGAAAAAGGAAAGGAAACAAAAAAATAAAAGCTTAAGAAAGAAATGTTTTAATATTCTGCTTCTTGTCTAGCAGACACCATAAAACAAATGCTGTATAGGCAAAGTGTTCTTGCTCAAATTACACTGAATGAGCAAGAAGTTACTCCCGTGCTTAGAAAAGACACCTATCGATTTAGATGTGAGATCAATAGGTCCCGTGGCCAATCTAGAAGCAATGCAAAGGAAAAACACAACACATTAAATGGCGATAGAAAATCAGTAAAAACGAGGATTGTGGTTTCCTGGATTATGACGCAGTGTAGTCTTGTAGTCCAGGTGGTTACCAACGTTTCGAAAGAACATATCGACATGTTCCACCGAAACTTTGGTACCTTTATTCTACTCTAAAGATAGAGGCGGTGTGTTTCTCCGAAAGGTTAGTAACCTCCTACAAGACTACACGGGATCATATTTCAAACACAGAAATTGAAAATCATCGAAGTGTATGATGCAATAATCTTGAACGCTACATAGACACTATGGATGGAGGCAGTCGTGGCCTATTCTGAAGAACTGCCCACAACAAAATCATCCCAGTGGACAGCAATTGAAATACACAAATTACAATTGTCGAAATAATTTAAAACACACAAGTTTTAAAGTAAGTTTATAATATCCTCAAAAGGTTATATAAGAATCTTGCTTTAGGGTCAATGGATAAGGGTGACAACCCTACCATATCCAGACAGAAACACTTGATTGTCTTTTATCAACAACACGACGAGTTCAAGAGATTTTACCGCACTTTATGAAATGATAAAAAAAAGGTCATTCTGTGACCGATTCAAGTTTAGTTGAAGGTCATAAAGACTTATCAATTGTTGACTCTAAGACTACAAGTTTCAGACCAATCAGTGAAGTGTTTCTCTTTTCAATGTTGACGATTCAAGCTTGAATTATGTACATCTTTCCTTATTTCATAAGGGATAAGACACATGTAATCATATTTATGTCTATACGTATTTAGTCCCATTAATGACTTGTAAAACAACTACCCACTTAATAAAACTTGGTATGAATGGCATGACATCTGAGGCCGTCTCAGGGTGCAAACTTCTGAGATGGTAACGGCAACAGATAAATTCAATATGGGCCTTAAATGCGTCATGATAGATATTGAACATTTATAAGATTGTTTGCCTCATTAACAGGACTGATGATGGAGGCAATAAGCATCCCTGAAACGTCGGTCAATTTATACGAGATTACACTGCGCAATAACTCAGAAGACAGTCACCCTTAGGTGTTGTTAGGATAGCGAATCTCTTCTATGGATGTCACCCTTAAGTATTGTTAGGATAGCGAATCTCTTCTATGGTGGGCTGGGTCTGTTGCTTAGATAGGTAAAACCTCTAATGAGTACAGAATTATTTTTGTTGCTAAAATACCTTGGAAAATTTCGTCTTGGAAGACAGAGAAGGACGACAGTAGGGTACAAGGTTCATGAAACTAGCCCAGGATCACGTGCAACTGTAGGCTTTAGTGTTAGCGATAATGAACTTTGCGTTTTCCTACGTCAGCGTCAGTAGATTCTCTTATTTCGTGACGTTTCGTAGGGTCAACCACAGCGCTACGCCACAGCAAGGGGCCTACGGCACGCTTCAAAGTCTGTCTTGACCACAGGACACAAACTTCCACCCGCTGATACGACCCCTTGTCCCTCGGCCTCTTGTTCGTGCCAAGTTTCATCTCTGGCGACTGCATGTTGCTTTGTAGTCGATTTTATTTTCAAAACATACTTTTGTGTTCGGTAAAAAGGGCTTAAGTCATTAGAAATTACGGCTGAATTAATCCCTTCTTATCGAACAGCAATTACATAATACATGCAACAACATCTAATTCTGTCAGATTTCTTAACGACATGCAATGACTTTCCTCAATAAAATCTTCTCGGGAGATCAGCTTTCCTGCAGACTTCGGTCCAGACAAGAGATTAACATAAACAAGAAGGAACTGGAAACAAATACACCATAAACTTCAGAGCAGAATTTGAGGTTCTCACTGCGGTAAGAACGAAGATGAATATCTTCTGGGCTGTAGTGCCGTGTAGCCTGGTAGAAGTTTAGAGACGTTTCAGGTCATCGCCCTGATGATGGAGGCAACAAAGACCTGTGAAACGTTGGTAAACTTCTACCAGACTACAACAACTCAGAAGACAACTATCAAATAACGTCACAGATCAAGCAACCACTACAGCAAATGCAATATAAAAAATCAATTTAAAAGATGTACTTGTTAGTGGAAGAACGATATTAAGCTACAACTTGGATAAACAGGTTGTAAGTTCGAAAACCAAATATATGTGCAATGGTGTTCGCAAGGAACGATCTCTAAGAGGGCCAGCAGCTGAGTTTTAAAAAAATCCACCGCAAATGTCACATGCCAGGGAGAATGTACGGTCCAGCCAGCTGATGACCAATGACAACACACGACACGTTTACAGAAAAGCGATGTTTCAAGTTACTCACTGTCAGGCTGTGTGTGGACTATGGACTAAATGCTACAATTCAGATTCCCATAGCCCGTTAAACGTTGAAAATCGGACCCATGCTTATATGACATTGCTGTACGGGAATGACCTCAGAGACAGGATCTCAAAATATTGATACAATCACGGGTTAGCCTGTAGAGCACAAATACAGAGGAAACTCGCGAGGTACCGGGTCTCCTGACCCTTTGTCACATTTAGTGCCATGTTCACCAAGTGCCTTGCAATGCATAATGCAGTCTACGCGGGGTCACGCCGTCTGCACTGCGGGCTGACGGTCAACTCTCCCATTTGCGTGCAACACTGTTATACATCCATTCGTGGCAGAATAAATAAATAAATAAATAAATATATGACATATTACTGAAAAGTTACGGACTTGTCTTCGGAAAACTAATATGAAACCTACAATGATTTTCCCCCTGATTTCAACGGGCCGTTTCCCTACCATTGAAAAATTATTCAACTACTGTCACCAAAGTTTTAGAGAGAATCAAAACGAATAAAACCACTGTTAAAACAGGTACGTCCTTTCGGAGTGAACATTACTATGAACTCAAGGTAAATGATTTCTGTCAATAAATTAGAAATGACAGGACGATTAGAAATATAGTTGGGACAATGACATGAAGTGACAGAGGACTATTTTGAAGTTCCATTCCAAAATTTGTCTGTAACAAACCAGTGAAAAGCGCAACAATAATTTTATAATAACCCACCTCCCAGTATAATATTAATTCTTAGGTTACTCAACAACACCGATCGAAGTACAGAGGTGAAAAAATCTGCAATTATAAGTAGATGATCATACATGGTGAGTAGGTAAGAATTTGGAAGGAGGCGGTCGTGGACTATTTTGAGAGAGAGTCGTAGCATTTACCTGGTGATTATGACCTCGACTAAAAGTCACAACGAAACAAATGAGTTTCATAAAATTAGTTCCATGAATGTCAAAGATTCGTGTCATATTCTATATCAGAGCATTGAAGTCTTTCCAGACGATGAAATTGGCACAATGCCTCGTTTTTTCAGTAAAGACTAGCTGTTGGCAGCTGATACAAAAGGTCAAATTTGATAATACATTTATCTCTTACAGTAACACATACACTTACGCTGCTCTTGTAGCAAAATTAATATCACTGATATAAGTCAGATATACAAGAAGAAAAAATAGACCATACATTAATTTAATGACGTTTCAATGCCAAGTTACCCTCATAAGTTCGGATTCCATAATCGTAGACGGACAATGCCTACTTATTTTTCTACAAAGCGTTGACAGTTAATCATTTGACAGCATGGCGGGTCACGTCTTCGTATCAGAGCACAGTCGCGCTGCACTGACTATCAGCACAAACAATGGGCAAGCTAAGAAGTTCCCTCAGTACCTTGCGGCCATCTTGGGTGAGTTAACTTTTGTAAACGTTTTATTAAGACTAAATACAGACAGCATACCTGATTTAATTAAAACATCTCCGAAAAGAAAGTATTAAAAATTAAGACCATTCTGGTTTGAACGTAAAACGGTTTCTGAAAGAGAAGGTTTTTAAGTATTTGCACTAATCTAGGCGACAAAGTACGAGACAATCAATTTGTCTGAGTGTCTGTAGGGGTAATTACATCATAACTGGCCTTTTATTAAATTACGTTATTTTTACATAAAAGTTTATTATTTAATTAAAATTGAGTATAGTTAACTACGAAAATGAAATATTTCGTGAAGCAAAGAAATTCTACCTGGAAATTCCTTGCCCTTTATGGAACAAAATTTTATAATTTTGTTCATAAGAGTCAGATAGATCCAGTCCCAGTACACGCTGTCATATTCTATTTAATTATAATACATTTTAATATTATCAATATATTTACTCTAAGGTCTTCCAAGTGGTTCATCCCCTAAGTTTTTTAAACTAAAATTTTGTAACCGTTTCTTGTCTCTGTCATGCGTGTTATATGTTCGGCTCATCTCAATCTCCTTAAATTGATAACCATTTGTTTACATACTATGAACGTTATAAGACACAAAAATGTTTAGAAATTCAGTGGAAAATTTGAGAACTCCTTAAATAATTTTGAGAAATGTAGTTTTAAAACCAAATCTGAAAATGTCCGCTGCCTTGGATTTTTACGGTTGGCTGGATTATTTTGCATTTTTGGTCATAAACATAAACTGGTTGAATATAAAGATTTCTGTCTTCTGGGTTAAGTTAATCATAACACTTAAATTAAAATTCTGAATCCATAGGAATCTGAGAGCCCCTCAGCTCGCCAATAAATCCCATGTTTCTTATGTATCCGGACGTTCCATCTTATCCTTATTCAGTCGAATTCACGTCACACATTCACTCTGTATCTTTCTTACGCATATCCATTTTAAGACAAGTACACATATTTTAATTAATATTTTCAATTCCACATGTACACCCGCAAACCGTTCTTTCCATCATCTGATAACGCGGCACAGGCCATGAGGACAAACTCCGAAACTATCCTGGAAACACTGCCAGCCTCAGGGCGACATAGAAAACCCACGAAGTTCTGTTCCTCCAGTCCGTTTTCACGTGTTGCAGCCACGTTGGCGGCCCTGGTAGCAGGTTCTTTCTTGTCCTGGACATCACCAGCGCTGCCGCTGCTCCAGAAACCAAGCAGCGTCCCTTACGTCACAGACGAGGAAGGCTCGTGGATCGGATCCCTGTTGAACCTCGGAGCCTTCCTGGGCGCATTGCCGGCCGGGTTGGTAGCTGACTGGATAGGGCGCAAAGTTACACTCTGCGCCCTGACTATACCATTGACGGGGTCCTGGCTCCTGATGGCCTTTGGTGGCTCCGTCGTCGAGTTATTCTTGGGCCGGTTTATAGGTGGAGTAGCTATTGGTGCTGTAAGTGTGGCCGCTCCCATGTACATAGCAGAGCTCGCCGAGAGTTCCATCCGCGGTGCGCTAGGGACGTTGTTCCAGCTACAGATCACGATCGGCATCCTGTTCGGGTACGTGGCAGGCATGGTGGGCGATCACCGAACCCTCAGCTTCATATCCTGCGCCCTCCCGGTGCTGTTTTTTATCACCTTCATCTGGATGCCAGAGTCGCCCGTATTCCTCTTGTCCAAGAATAGGTAAGGGCCTCTGCTGTTGGTTCGTACATCATTTAACGCCGGTCTAGTATCAAAACGGTTTTGAACGAGACCAGAGTACTGTTGTGATTATGGTTATTTATCGGAGTATGGTTATGTAAAGTTGCTCTAAAGTTGTACAATTATTTAGCGTCGAATAAGCCGAGAATGGTTTCGGTAAGTTGCTTAATCGGCTCCTTAATGACGCTGTATACATTAAAAAGATTATTTATGCTGCACAGACTGCAAATATTTAGTGTCGAATGAGATTAAATTGTATTTATGATTTATTATTCGCTTATTTGACGATTCTGTACAAAATTAAGAGTTTATTTAGCTTGTACTGGGTTGATTATAATCGGTCTCGTTTGGTTCATACATAGTTTAAAGGCTTAGTTAATGATATGGTTTAAAGTAAAAAGAAAGCTAACCTGCATAACGCTTTCCGTCAGTCTTCCGTGAGAAAATGAGATGGAGGTAATTTGCAGGAAGGACGCCGCTAGGAAAGCATTGCAGTGGTTCCGAGGTAAGGACTATGACGTGGAGGACGAACTGATGAGGATGTCGGACACGATCAAGGAAGCGGCGGAGAACAAGGGGACTTTGGGAGACCTGATATCTTCCAGGGGCACAGTGAAGGCAATGATCGTCGCGCTGGGCATCATGACCTTCCAGCAGACAAGTGGCGTCAACGCCGTTATCTTCTACTCGGGAAATATATTCCAGAACTCCGGCTGTACTTTTTCCGCTACTACTGCATCTATAATTATAGGCGTCGTTCAGGTAAACGTACAGTAAATTCCGAAGGTTTCTGGCAATAGTGCGTTATTATGTCAATTTTCTTTTAATTTGCCCACTGCCGAAATTACAAACATAAATAAAAACATACGTTTCGGACGCTGGATCTTCTTCTGTATTTAGGTAAAAAGGACAAAAAACCCAGCTGTTGGGCCTCCTTGGTGAGGTCCACATGTGAGGCTTGGACAACCAGGGGGCCCAAACTCTAAAGTTTGGCATTTCCTTTTTACGTGAAGATGGAAGAAGATTCGGTTTCCAAAACGTTGTATTTATTTGTATTTGTAATTTATACTCATCGTCCTGATGATGGAGGCAGCAAGGAACTCGAAAACATCGGTAAACTGCTACCGAACTACAAGGCGCTACAACCCAGAAGACAGCAATCTTCCTTTCCAATATTATTTATAATGAGTTGCAAATTAGATTAGTAAGTCAGGCCTAATGACACGCGGCGTAATGGTTATGAGGAAGTTTCTGTAATGTTTCAGGTTCTTGCCACGTACTCTTCCACGCTGCTAGTTGACAAAGCAGGACGACGAGTACTACTCTTGTTGTCCTCAACCGTCATGGCCGTGTGCCTCACGGCCCTCGGCCTGAGCTTCCACCTGCAGACACACGGATACGACGTCAGTTCAATCAGCTGGCTGCCGCTCGCGAGTGTCGCCTTGTTCATCGTCGTGTTTTCTATGGGGTTCGGTCCAATTCCATGGATCATGATCGGCGAACTGTTTCCTAACAATGTTAAAGGCATAGCTTCAGCTGTGACTGCAGCATCAGCTTGGATCCTCGCCTTCACAGTCACCAAAACGTTCCAAAACCTCCTGGACCTCCTGGGGTCACCTATCACGTTTTGGCTGTTTGCGGTTATGTGTGTTGCCGGAACCATCTTCACGTTTGTTCTTGTTCCCGAAACGAAGGGCAAAGATCTTGAGGATATTCAGTTAGAACTGAGTGGGAAGAAGAAGTCTGACAGGGAACTGGAGGCTGTGGTGGATGGGTCGTTGTCCAAAACTAATGTGAATATATAACAACGCCCTGTATATCCAGGACGCGTTAAGAAGAGTAGTAATGACTAGTGTTTTTTTTTATTTTGAAAACTAGTATCAGGTTCGGAAAAATATTTGGTATGGTCCCTTCTTAATAAATCGGCCTCGTATAGTTTTTAACGAACTAATTATAGCATATAAGATTTCAGGTGAGTGTGAAAATGACTGTTTACTGAGATATCGACTTGTCAGGTCTGTTCGTGTATCTTCATCCACTTTATCACTCACAGATTACTCGCCCTCATGATGCAGGCAGTAACTACTTCCGAAACGTTGAAAAATTTCCACCAGACTACACGGCGTAACATCACATAAGACAGTCATATCGCATACAAATTTTGTACGTTGTCACGTAAACAAAATTAAATAATGCATTTACATGGACGCAAGATAGAGAAACTCAAATAGGCAATAAATATTTGTAAATATTAAATTACAGAGGTACAATAGAAATGACATAGTGTACAATTATTTGACATGCGCCAAAACAAATGTCATGAAGGTGTATAGACGACGAAAAATATAATTGTTAGGATCAAGTTTTGATCGCAAAAATACGAAGGAGATGGAATTTTACATATGTATTATAAGTCTGATGTAGGGTTCGGTGATACGATGGTGACAGTTAATAATCAATACAAACATCATAAACCAGTACAAATTACTTAAAAATAGTACAAATAAAGCAGCAATATGAAAGCTGCAACTTTTTCACTTTACAAATAAGATACAAATAACAGACTAAATAATAAGTGACCTTAAGTAGCCTAAGTCCTATTTGTTTGTCTGTTTGTTGGGTTAAAGGGGCACCAGCATCTGTAGCTATTTGCGCCTATTTAATCTTAGTCTTAAGGGAATGTGTCTAAACATAGTAAAATTCATCCTTGTCCCACAGGAATGGTACGTTCAAAAGTTAATAACAATCACGCGAAAAACGGATGATCAGTTGATTTGAGATTAGCAGCCCAAAGTAAATACCATAAAATTAATCCAAATCTCACGTGGGTGGTACGCTAAAATGTAACAACAATACCAATAAAACAATATTAACAAAGTCAGGCACGGTTTCCGGAAAACATTTGTAATTTTCACGGCGAAAAAATGTGAAAATTGGACTTTCCGGTTGTGATAAAGAAAGCCTTATAGGTATTGTATCGTCTCAGTCTTCAGAGTAGAATTGAAGGTCACTTCATCTCACTTCTACACTGAAGACAGAGGAGTTACTGTCCTCCGAAACGTTGATAAACGGCTACAGGATTACGCAGCGTCAGAATCCGGAATAACACCATCTTCTCATTGTTAATTACTTTTATACCAAAATTATTACAGTAAATAATTTAATATATGTGAAGACAGAAGAATCATGGCCTTAAGTCAGTATGTAAGTGGAATTCGACTGTTTCAACAACAATAAGTATTGGTCAAGTGTATTATTATGCTAAAAGCAACACATATGTTTAATAAAACACTAAAAACAGGATAAAGTTTTCACTTTGATATGATGACATGTATTCCGCGTATCTGTTCTTTTCAGCGAAACTTCCCGCTTCCTTCGTTATCGATATTTGAGAATGTCAAACAAGGAATAAAAATTATTTTAACACTTTTTATTCGCAGTATTTAAAATATCATTTCACTTCCAATTTAACTATCAGAAACATCTCTCCACAACCCTTACGATGCACCTCAATCTTATGTTTGAAGGAGAAAGAAGTTTCGATAGGAGGGGGGAAGGAGAATAACAGCTGATCAGTGAAGAGGGGTAAATGATTTGAAGACTGTGCCGCTGTATAAACTCACAAGAACAAACGTTAAATGTGCTAACACATACAGTAGAACTGAAAAAAATATTATAATCATCAGATTGGCCGAGTAGCCCTCTTAACACACACATAAAGAGAATAGATCTTTATGAATTAATTCAATATTTCTAATGAGGAAATTAGAATTTAATATGTAACTATAATTAAGTATAGCTGGTCCAGGGCTGTGTACAATGGCGGATTATGCTATAAGAAGTGTTAAATATTCAATTTCACTATCAGAAAGTCAGTTAGTTAACTAACATTTGCATGAGAACGAAACAAATATCGACAGCAGCCAGGAGAGCTCAGTCAGTGTACAAACTACACTAGAGTTAAACGACTGGAGTTCGATTCCAGAAAGGGAAAGATGTTTTTCTTCGCCACAACGCCCTATAGCCGTGGGATTAATTTGTAGACAACATTTGTCCATTACAAAGATCAGTGTAGGAAAATAATTGCTGTTTACTCTGAGAATCATACGATACCAATAAATATTCGCTGGACGTAATGCACAGTTATTGCCCGTTAAAGCGGATAATACAGTTACCATTTGGATCTAAAGTGTTAAGTGTGAGGTAAACTGAAAGAGACAGATGCTCTGTCACGTAAATGAATATAAAATGAGCTTTCGTGTCAGCCGTTAATAAAACATCCAATGAATAAGTAGCATTTCACACGACCCCCACTCTAATTACAGACAGAAGTAATTTTAAAAAATTTATTCTGTTACGACTGAAACATCAAAATAATTTATTTGCCTTTTAGTAAACATTCAGAGAAGCCTGACAGTACATAATAAATAATGCAAATGCGACAATTATTTCGAACATTCGATGAATTTCGTGTCGAAATTTCTAGCATTTTAGTGTGTTGAATCGAGCACTTAACTACAACTGTTTTCCGTAAACAGTAATAATACCTACATCACAATAAACTAATCTGTTGTACGGATCCACAGGCGCTGGCATGGAAAATAAGCCAATGGAGTCTATGGGTCTGTGTGTTGCAGTGCTTAAAATAGGGGGATTGTGGCATACAAGAGATATGACTCAAAGAAATGCCATTTTGTACAATATGTTGAGAACATTTGTGGTAATCGTCTTAGGTGCTGTCACATTACAAGTCTATTTGTATTTATTTATTATGTGGGGAAGTTTAGAGGACATGTTTCAAACAACTGCTTACAGCATTTCACTAACGGTACTTTCCTTAAAATATCACGTAATGCTCTTCAGAAATGAAGAAGTTGATAACATAATCCAAACTGTACAAAAGAACTTTATAATTCACGGAACTGAACTGAGTACAGAGAACAGACAAATTATCAAAAATACCATAAAATTAGCAAAAAGAGTAGCCGTTGCTTATGCAACCATGCAAACATTTGCATTAATTACATATACCATTATTGGTCCGCTGACTTCCTTCGGTGTACCGTTGCACACAGAAAATGCAACAAACATTAGCTATGAATCTCGTATTTCAGATCGGAAGTTATCCATGGAGATGTGGGTTCCGATAGACATATCACAATCTCCACAGTTTGAGATAGCGTATATATATGTGTCGGTAACATCAGCCATTAACTCATGGAACTTAGTGGCAATTGAGGTGTTTTGTATGACTACTTTTATCTACATCGCGGGTCAGTTTGAACTGCTGTGTGACTCGATAAGGAATACTTTAATAAAACATCCAATGAATAAGTAGCATTTCACACGACCCCCACTCTAATTACAGACAGAAGTAATTTTAAAAAATTTATTCTGTTACGACTGAAACATCAAAATAATTTATTTGCCTTTTAGTAAACATTCAGAGAAGCCTGACAGTACATAATAAATAATGCAAATGCGACAATTATTTCGAACATTCGATGAATTTCGTGTCGAAATTTCTAGCATTTTAGTGTGTTGAATCGAGCACTTAACTACAACTGTTTTCCGTAAACAGTAATAATACCTACATCACAATAAACTAATCTGTTGTACGGATCCACAGGCGCTGGCATGGAAAATAAGCCAATGGAGTCTATGGGTCTGTGTGTTGCAGTGCTTAAAATAGGGGGATTGTGGCATACAAGAGATATGACTCAAAGAAATGCCATTTTGTACAATATGTTGAGAACATTTGTGGTAATCGTCTTAGGTGCTGTCACATTACAAGTCTATTTGTATTTATTTATTATGTGGGGAAGTTTAGAGGACATGTTTCAAACAACTGCTTACAGCATTTCACTAACGGTACTTTCCTTAAAATATCACGTAATGCTCTTCAGAAATGAAGAAGTTGATAACATAATCCAAACTGTACAAAAGAACTTTATAATTCACGGAACTGAACTGAGTACAGAGAACAGACAAATTATCAAAAATACCATAAAATTAGCAAAAAGAGTAGCCGTTGCTTATGCAACCATGCAAACATTTGCATTAATTACATATACCATTATTGGTCCGCTGACTTCCTTCGGTGTACCGTTGCACACAGAAAATGCAACAAACATTAGCTATGAATCTCGTATTTCAGATCGGAAGTTATCCATGGAGATGTGGGTTCCGATAGACATATCACAATCTCCACAGTTTGAGATAGCGTATATATATGTGTCGGTAACATCAGCCATTAACTCATGGAACTTAGTGGCAATTGAGGTGTTTTGTATGACTACTTTTATCTACATCGCGGGTCAGTTTGAACTGCTGTGTGACTCGATAAGGAATACTTCACAGAGGGTGATGTATAGGTTAAATGAAACACAGCATCCTTCATCTGGCAATGATCACATCGACAAACCACAAAAGTTTACGTCAGATAAAAAAATGAAGATACAACATTCAAGTGCAAATACTGAGTCAAGCGTAATTCCTGAAAAAGGTAAAGTAAATATTACTCATGACCTCACACTTTTGCCCTGATGACACGATTTTCATACAATTTTCTGGGTACGCTAATTACACTAAAATTTATTCCATTTACATTTCCAATCGTTTTTAAACAAATGCTATATTTGCATTACATTCTCTAAGCACACAGGTAATTTTAAATACTTTTTACTATAAATAACGTTGATGCATATGCATCAATTCTGAAGAATAGTATTTTTATTTACGGCATATAGTTTTAAAAAGCAGTAATTTTTATGCTCCGAAATATTATAGTAAGTATGTGTTTATATTATACACTTTAAAATGTCGAGTATGCACAGAATCTTAAAAATCTGTATTCCTCCCCCAATATTGTCAGGTAGATTAAGTCGAGAAGAATGAGATGGGCGGGGCATGTAGCGCGCATGGACGGGACAAGAGGTGTGCACCGGATACTGGTTGGGAAGCCTGAGGGAAAGGGACCGCTGGGGAGACCTAGACGTAGATGGGAGAATAATCTCGGGCGGGATCTATGGGAGATAGGAGGTGAAGGAAACTAAAATGTTCGAAATCTACTTCCGTAAGTCAGCCTACAGTAAAAATGCTATTCAAATTACTTAACATTTACTATAAAACAACTATGGTAACTACTACTACTACTACTAAAGGTGCAAAATAAATTAGTTCAAACTTTACCCACAATCTGTCGTGACTTACCCATTACAACTCTTCAGAACCATACGATATTTGGCTCACTCTTGGTTAAATTTGTTACTGGCCTCTCAGTCTGCTTTGATTTTCCTTCACTACACATAATTTCGCACTTCCACGTGTACCATTTCTTTCAGATACTGTCCTTAGTTCAACACGAAAACAGCCTCAGTAACTAGCGTAACTATTTTTATCTTAAAAACAAAATTGTCTTCAGATTGTTCAGATTACACTGTGAACACTTTCACGAGCATTACTTGTTCTTGCAAAGTTCATATTGTTTTTACACAATAATCTTAACAACCACACATACGCGCACAAACTCACACTAATAGAATGAGATTATTTAAGAAAAACTACAAAATAAACCGCTTATGTTTCCACATTTATTTTCCCTCTTAACCATGGGCACGACATGCAACACAACTTTCAACTGTTTTATGTTAACGTTTCTTACACAGGTGTCACTACCACCTAGACAGAGAGAGAGGGAAAATCAGGTAGCCAATACTTCCGAAATAAATAACCAAGAAATACCAAACTCACGTTAACGTTTCAGCGAATGAGGTGACATCTGTCAGCTGAACACCCCCGACTCCTTCCTCGTAAATACCGCGTACACCAAGACAAAACCAGTTTCGTATGAAAATAGACATTATACGATTCTCACTTCTGCAACAAAAACTGAATATATAAAATACTAGATGGGCCTACACATTGAGGCCCTGAGTGTCCTCCAAAAACTTTTCGGTTTCTCATGAGAAATTTCGCAGTTCTCGATAAGAAACAAAAAGGGGAAAGGAGTCATGTTCCAGTTTTGGAATCAAAACTATGTTCTTTACCTGCAGTTAAAATTTAAAAAAAAGATCCGATTCTGGATAACATTTCGAATTCCGAATGCAAATCTGACACAAAACAGTTTGGGTTCTGCACTTTAGACTCACATTTAATGCTCCGTAACACATATTGATAAAACTATCACTTCCTCTGGGATTTAGTTAAAACAATAACATGAAGGATTATATTTTATTTGTCCCTGGATAGAGACCATTGGTGGACTCTTGTGAACATGGAAATAAACAATCTTGTCCCATAAAAGGCGTAGAAATTTATTAGCTGATCGACTGTTAGCGTTAGCTGTGTTGATGACCGAATATAAATATATGACATCTCAAGAAAGTAATTTAGTAGTTCCCGTTGAAGTCGAAGCTCGCCTACATATTATTTAAGAATTCAGTTCGTACAGCAAAGAAAACATTAAGATTCTCCATTACATAAATCAAATGGTTAATATTGTTTATACTGAAATGATCCCTGTTTACAATGAGAAACAAACGAAATTTATAAATACAAAACGCAATCTTCATGATTGTTAAAGCAGGTTATACATATAATTACCACTGAACTTTAAAGAAATTAAATGTGCCGTACAAGAGAGTTCTCTGAAACAAATTGAGAGGATTTGCACATGTAAGATATAAGAATTACGCTCACGTTACACTGAGAAGTTATTTCCATCTGGTAATCTGGCAGATGAAGGCGTGCATCCGTTTGGGTCTGCTGTTACAATGGCTATACAGGAAGAAAATATGGCTAACAAGACACAATACTTTGCAAGCGAACAAAACGATGCTATTATTAGACTTGGAAGAAACTACGACTCTCTCGGAGGTGAAACTTACAATCTCGACATTCCTGGCTCGTTTTCAAATTACCAAAAGGAGATGGAGCGATACCTCATGGAATGCATCAAACATCACCAGAAACTTATCGAGTGTGTAATTTGCCGAGTATATATTCTATCTAATGGCAGAATGTGCGTTATATTCATCAGCCAGAGTTTAAAAATTGTCACGTTTCCTTACAGGTGTTCCGAGAAGATAGATTTACTATGGAAAAGGGTTTTCTTCTATCAATTCTTAACAGCCTCCCTCCTTATTTGCTTCATTGGACTCAAAGCAATATCCGTAAGTAAAACGTTTTGTAGATTTTCGTCTACAGAATGTCTAAGAAAGACGTATACACACATTCAATGGTTGAAATAAAATTATTTTAATAAACTAAATCACTATATACGTCAGGCGGGATTCGAAACTGTAATGGTCGTATTCGATCATCCAAAACCCGTAATTGTCTGACCGCAGTCATTGTGATCAACTTAAATTATTATATGAATACTAGTGGGGAAGAAACCGTTTAAATTTAACGGGGATTTGCCTTCTCATATTATTATCCTTTGCTCCCTTTCTTCGTTTTTAGTGTTCCTTTCGTACCTCTGCGTTCTTTAACATAAATTTCTTACACATTCTCGAATGGTCCATGTGCTGAACATAAGATCACTATTCACAGATGCCGTTAAATGGTGAATTCGCGAAGACAATGGAATACTTGGCAGCTGTAATTTTTCAGTTGGGTCTGTACTGTACATTTGGGTCCAATTTAATGACTCAGGTAAGTGGATTGTGGTCAACTGGTTATGATATCACGTTATATTTTAGATGGTTACCTTCTTTTCAGAGAACCTCATCATTAGGGTAGATAAGTTCTTTCCAAACGCACGTAACTCGCTACAAGACTACGCGACGTCACAACTCAGACGCCCACAATTAATATTTTCGCGGTCCTGAAAAATCACAAAATCGCTTACGAAATTACAAGTTAATTTCTAACCCGTTCTTGTTAATTATAATTTAGTTTAATTTGTGTTGTGATAAACAGACGAATCATTTATATACATAATTAAAATGTCTTGCCATAATTTTTTCTCTGCTGACACTGACACACAAATTTCAATTTTTTATTAAGGGACAGGAACGACGCTGTTGACATACTGTATGTGTTAAGTACCTTCAGTTCCTAAAATAATCCCATGTACAATAACAAAATTTCTGCATGCATACAAAATTGATAATCGCCATATAAGAACAGATGACAAATTACCAACAAAAGAAATTAACGTACAGATTTCGTATTTGCACCAGAGTGAGGCAGTCTTCAATGCAGCATATGAGAGTGATTGGAACAACCAGTCAAAACACTACAAGAACTGCACGAGAATGCTCATCATGAGAGCTCAGCGGCCAGTAAAGCTCACCGCAGGCAGATTTGGAACTTTGTCTCTGCCCCTGTTTACTTCGGTGAGTGTAAAATATGTCAATTATTAACAACAAAGTTTCCTTGTTGTAAGCAACTACATCAATAACCAAAATCCATAAATCAGACTTCATTTCCAAGAAGAGTCAAAATGTTGCATGTTGGAAATAGCATAATGGACTAAGAAAACAACAGAAATGTTAAATTTGTGTTGCAGATGCTGCGTTCTTCATATTCCTACTTGGCTCTCCTCCGCCAAATGCAAGAGCATTAGTAACAGTAACCAGTTGTTCTGCACAGCCAACACTGTGAAAATCAGGTAATATTAATGAATGCAACTCCGCGGCACTACATTCGGGAACATCGCTCACTTTCCCTGATATTTAAATGAAAATTTGAAAAAAGTGACGTGTCCACAAGCAACAACTTGAGAGCAACTGATCAAATTCTAATGAAATTTGATATGGCAGAGTTTTTATTCAGATTTTAATACATTCGAATTTTGGTTGAAATCAAAAAACAATGATGGAAACCACCCAAACAACAAAGAACATTTCTGCATCCAACTCAAGATTAACTTGCTAAACATTTATCAAAGCAAAAGTACTGTGGGGGGGGGGGAGAGAAAGAAAATAAGTGTTATGAGCAAATACACTTTTTCTGTAGGTCTTACAGTTTTAAAGAAAGTTAAACAGGAAATTTTATGCATTGTATGTGCCTGTATTTAGTAAAATAGAAAGACAAAGGCCTATATTATCTAAAATTCGAAATGATATCTATAGCATGTTTGGCTTTGTAACAATCAATTACAGCTGTACGTTTGTAATAGCATTTCAAATATCAGCCCCACCCTTCATTAAATAATAAAGTGTTTCACGCTTCTCTTTTCTAGGAACTTTTAATTTAACGCAGTTCATGATAATAAAAGCTCTCAACCCTCTGTAGTTCTCTGTTATTAAATGATTCAATAATTAATGCAGACATTATTCCAGGTATCATGAATATAGGAAAAGTACTGCTTAGATGAAAACATAATTGTACCCATTAAAACCGGGAGCTTTCGTATTAACAAACAGGTGTGACTTTTCCAAAAAATTCCCTCCTTAATCTTTCGGCTCCCCCGTACAATTACAGTTAGTAGAAAACATTAGACTAAATATGAGACATTCCAAATGTTATTCCTGGTTACAAGTTTTCATTCCATACATTATCCTCAATTTCAAGTTTTCAAACATAACCCACAAAACCTGTAACTTATGTTTTATTCTATTTTCTACAGAAAATGTTGAAGTACTTTCCTTCAATCAATGGCTGTTTTAATTGGAGTGGTTAAAGGAGATGAAGAAGGTGTAGCAGGTTTATAAAGCATTAGAGATATAAGAAGTGTACACATAATTTTAGTTGGAATTATTTAAGGAGATGTAAGCATAATCTCATACTAAAATGGATCTAAAATAATGTGCGAAGGCATGAACTAGATTCTTCTGGCTTTGGATAGGATCCAGAGGCAGGCTGTTGTCAATACAGTAATGAACGTTTGGGTCCACAAAAGTGGGGAATTTCTTGACTGATAAAGTGAGCATTAGCCCTTAGGAAGAGCTATGATCTATAGAGTTTGTTAGTTACTTTTACGTTTAAAAAAAATTATCAATTCTTTCAAAAGGTTAGTTGAAGAAATGTAATATTTATATAAGTAGCACAAAACATTAAAACAAAAACTATATCAACAATTAAAGAAGACGTTTCATACATAAAATACTGCAATAAATTGGTGTCATTCTTCACAGAACTCATTATTCTGTTTTGATAACTGTCGGTTTGTTTCGTTCATCACTGTGGTACCACATAACCCGTTCATCAAGTTTTGTTTGATGCATTAACAACCATTTGCGTAAGTCCAGTGACAGATAAAGATACCAAATAACAATATATACTCAAAAATGGAGTGAGCTCTCACGTAGAAAGAAACAGACAGTCATAAATATTGAGTTTAATCTCTTAATATAAGTTTCTTATAAGACGTGAGTTTTGATTATACTTCATTTCATGGATTATCTTTCCATCAGTTCTAGCTGAATTTCTTCTCGTGTCTTCCCTTTGGTTTCTGGTACTATGAATGCAACTACTACAGTTCCTACAGTACACATTCCACAAAATAATGCAAATGTTATCATAGTTCCCAAGTTTTTTATCGTAACCTCAAATAAATTTGTAACTGTAAACATTATAATCCAATTCACAGACACTGCAAGTCCACTTGCCCAATTTTTGGATTCATTTGGCACAAGCTCTGCCATCATAACAAATGGCAGAGATCCAAATCCAAGGTTAAAAGCAACTACAAACATAGCAAGACAAAGGAGAGGTAACCAGTCAAAGGTTTTCGTAGAAACATCAATTTGCTTCAAATAAAAATACACCACTAATATCAAATGACACACCGCCATTTTTGCACCTGAGAATAATAGCAGAATACGACGTCCAGCCCGTTCCACAAGGAAGGGTGAGACATAGGTGGCCAAGACTTCAGCTATTCCAACAATGATTGTAGCCTCAGATGGCGACAATGTGCTCCCTGCACCCTTGAAGATGTCAACAGTATAGAAAGTCACAGCATTGATACCACAAAGTTGTCTGATCATCATTAAACAAGCAACTATTTTTACAGCTTTAGTAGTTGGTGATTTATAAGACGTGAATACACATTTTGAAATATATTTCAGAATTAGTATTATGCGTATTATTGTATCCTTCGAGGCTGTCTCTTGAGAAGGCGATTCTTTTGCAGTTTGCAAAACAAATTTCTGAATGTACTCCAATTCAGGTTTTATGTCATAATCCTTTATGTACCTTGCGCCTCGCAACCAATATAGTGATTTCTCAGCTTCCTTAATCTTACCTTTCGAGGCGAGATAAATGGGAGACTCTGGTATCCAAATGAATGTCAGGAAGAAAACTACAGGGATGATGGCAGAAGTAATGCAGAGCCAGAGATATGACAAATACGCACCAACAATATAGACAAAAAGAATGCCATTACTAACTTGGAGGTCAAAGAATATCCCAAGGGCTCCTCTTATTCTCACTTCGGCAATTTCTTCGCAGTAAATTGGTGCGATGACAGAGCCTGTGCCGAGAGCAATTCCAGATATGAACCGTGCAGTGAATATCAGTGGTGCCTGCAATTAAAAACAAATAATTATTTTAGAGTCTCTGGTACAATACAAGGATTTTATATAGGCTGTTTATTTATTTGGGGCCGTAAAAATTAGAAGGGAAGAAGAGTTTTAAACGCATTCATAAGTTACTTACTAGCTCATTATATCCCTAACTTTAAAAAGCATTTCCCTAGTTTATGAGCCTGTACTTCTACGGGATACAAATTGTGAACTCAGTTTTATTGGATATTTTGGGCCTCCGTTTCCGCTAAAGCAAAGCAGTGCGAGCGAATAGAATTTGAGTTTTTCACAGCGGTGAGTCCGAAGATGGTAATCTTCTGGGTTGTAGCGCCTCATTGCTCTGATGATGGAGGCAGCAAGAACCTCTGAAACGTTGATAAACTTCTATCGGATGCACTGCGCTACAACCCAGAAGACAGCCATCTTCAAACTCCCTGCATCTTTCGCCTATTTCTTAACGTTTCTGGCTCACCGACTTCCCAGCAGCGAAAATGAGAGACCAGCCCACGAGGTAAGGTACGATGAGGAGTAACAGAAGTTTCTTGCGTCCGATAGAGTTGGCCACGTGACCAGCTGGAAGAGCGCCCACTAGAGCACCCAGAGGCGCCAGGGAGCCAATCCAGGAAGCCTCTATCGGCGTTACTCCCTCAGTCACTGCCCCATTCTTGTCCAGGAACACGGAAACTTCACTGACGTTTCGCACTGCCGCAGAAGAAGTCCCGATGACAGTGAAATTGGACGCATCACTTTCTTCAACAATATTGGTCGGCTTCTGAAGGTATGGCAATGCTTGGGAAGTCCACCCCATGACGGAGCCTGCACAGATTGATGCCATGGTTGCTAAAAAAAAGAGATTGCGTTGCACCCATCACTCAATGTACAAAGAATACCACTTCACAGATATTCACGAAAGAACTAAACTAGAATCAGAATTATTACACAATTGGATAAATTAGTTGTATTGGATTTTTAATGCCTGATAAATAAAATTCAGATGAAATTTTAACGTGTGTGAAGAAAGGTAGATTCCTTCAGGTTAAGCACAATGTTTTAAGTGGTTCAAAACTTTGAACATATAAACAAGAATCTCTGTACCCAAACTAGCTGCCAAGAACTGCGGCCATTTCTTTCCCGGGCGGAATCCCCCATTTTGTTGCATTCTCTTCTTCTCTCTCTCATTGTTGTCCAAGCTTCCCAGCCCCAGTCGTTCCCCTTTTCCACACGCACGACGCGGTGACTCCTCCATTGCTCCGTGCACATGACCTGGTGACACCATCGCTGACGCTGAGATTCTTCGATCACATGACGTGTTCATTGTTCCATCGGTAATAAAATCTGCCAAAACAATGTTTCCCTGGATAAACAAAGTCGAAACGAACGAAGCCAAAATCACTGCACGCCAAGTAATTTGACTCAGACAATCCATCAGCAGTGATGTCAAATCACACACGAGTAGCCTCCAAAATGGCAAATTTTGCCTCAGAATAAAATTGTCCCGGTGTTTCAGACAAACAAGATACATTTGATGGAGGCAGCAGGTACCCCTGAAACGTCTTTAAACATCATATGACTACACGGCTCAAGAACGCAGAAGACAGCCATATTCATACTCGCAGCCGTGAGAACCTCAAATCTCACTTCTGGCAGTCTGTCTTTAACTCCCTCTCACGTCAAAGATTTACGGACGGCCAAGAGCAGACGTTATACCTCTAAATTATTGGATTTTGGTACATTTTAAATGCAATTATATTCCTCTAACGAAATCCACTGCGCAAGGTTTTCCATATAAATCACTAAACCACCTTATCAAAATATTGCCCGCTCTCGTGGAATGGGAAGATACATCAGACTCCATTGTGAGTACAGCACAGCCTACAATTTACCCTAATAACAACAGCCAAAGAGTACTAATTTTGAAGCTGTTCATCATATTATTAAACCTTCTCTTCACTTCGTCATAAATAGATATAAAATTTGGATTTGTCACTATAGTTTGCAGGTAGCCTACTTTAAATTCATCATATTTCTAAAATATTGATTAATTATCTTTATATTTGGATTTTATTCTTTATTAATGTGACAAGACATGCTCACAGAGGTGTCTGCGATTATTTATAGACCACGCTCATTATTACGTTTTACATTGAACATTTTCTGTGTTCTTCTTTATAGTACTTTTATTTTCACCTAATAAATTTAAATCAATATCATAGACTTGGAGATCAAGTGCTTTCGATTTCCTTTGGTCTTCCTAAGGCGGAGTTGAATAACAATGTCCATGATCAAGTACCTCGTTTTAACAGTTTGTGTACCTGTAGAACTTTGATTTGCTTGGGCAATAGTAATCACTGACTATCTCACGAGATAACAAAAGCAGCCGAACATCACACGACTCGAATCACTCATTCTCTGACCATCGGTTGAGTCTTCAGGGCCACTGGATTGTTACAAGGTACGACACTGCAAGTGGTGCGACCATATTCCACTGCAAACACTGTGGTAAGGAGAGTTGGCTAAATTATTTGTGGCTTTAATTTATTTGTTCTTATTTGTGTATAAAACCACACATTTAATTCAAGTTTTATAGGTAGATTTATTTGTCATTTTCATTCTGAGAACATAACGTAACAAAAATTACAGGTATTCTACAACGAAGTGCCTAGGAGAATATTTTTACACGTGTAAAATAGTACTTTAAATCCAGAAATTTATCTCCTCGGGATTAATTAAATTATTTACTACGATCTGTGTAAAGTAAGAACTTTACTGACGTTTCAAAGATATTTGCTTTCTCCATCATCAGGGCGATAAGCTCATCGTCCTGATGATGGCATGTCGGTAAACTTCAACCAGACTATACGGTGCAACAGTCCATAAGGCAGCCATCTTCATACTCGCCACCGTGAGAACACAGTATCTCACCATGTATTTGCTAATTAGTTACTGCAAGTGATTACATAGACACATTCAGTTAAGTGCCTAGCTACTACTTTATATCCTTTCCTGGATGACAAGAGTCGATCTTGGCTTCACCTACTTAAGACCGTTGATTAAATTCTTCTCGGACAGACGTTAGGTCCATTGAAATGGGGAGCAGCCCATCAGAATTATTTGTCATCAAAGAACAATTCAATCAAACCCAGTGAAACATCCACGCTCAGAGGGGAATTCAAACCAGAAATCCAAGTTCAAGGGGCATAGTACCTTGGCTAAGTCACATGCTAAAATGTTAATGGAGGCTATGAAATTCTCTGCAGTTTCACTTAACACCGACCAGATATAATAAATCAGACTGTACATAAGTACTTCAAAATGTAGGAGTATCTCCGCATGCATCAACAACATCTGCCTCTTATCTAAGAACTGTTACACACGAGCTTGACCCTGCTACATATCTTAGAACTATCTTTTTTCTTATCACAAAGACTGAATAAACTACAAAAAATCTGTACAACTGACTAATCTTGGGGATTTTCATTGAGAGTTTATAAAACCACGTTCTACAAACATTGAATAAATTTCGTTTACGATTCGTTTTACATTAAAATGCAATACTCTTTCTTCAAAGATATTTCAATACTTTTACAATAGCTGAGTTAATGTCAAATTCGATTGCACTGTTTAAACACCCACGAAATATTTCTGGTTCCAGAACCCGAAGATTCAACACCACAAACACGAAACCTCATGATTCTAAGCCAGTTTCACTCACAACAGGCCATCACATCTCCTTTCCCTAAGATCCATCTTAATACTACCTTAAAACCTTGCATACCGTGCAGTGTATTGATATATAAAAATCACGCACACATTAATGTGTAAACAGTTTTGTACTGTCTTCCCGTCTATTTCTTGGTCTTCCAAGAGGCTGTTTTCCAACAGGATCCCCAGCCAGAGTTCCTCATTCATTTCTCTATCCGAGTTACCGAAACACTCGTAACCTCCATTGCATAGCTCCAATATTAATAAGCGACTTGTATGAATCACGACTTTCCGCGATGCATAATAAGAGCCTAAATTTTTCAATTACTTCATTCCCAGACAGAGGTAAGAAGAATTGGTGACATGTTATGATAAAAATCACAGGCGAAATTTTAAACCCAAAGATTTCTTTTGTATAGTCTCTACTTTACTGAATGCAAGGAAATGTCCCAAGGGTTGTGTCGGCGGAAGTTTTCGTTACCGGAAAGGTGAAAAAGCAGGTGCCTGACGATGACAAATACCGAGGTCCTCCAGGTTGGAGGTTGTACGGATAGGTGGATTTATTGTATTTAGTGTTCTGTCTGACGACAGGTCCATATGAACAGGATCCTTCCATCCTTTTCTCGGACTGGGACCTGTTCATATACGTTCTTGGCAGATGATCCAGAAGTGGTTTGACATTGCTCTCCTTCAGAAAATACTTCAATTTATATAACTACTTGCTCCGTCTGCAATAAAGCGTTCCAGACTTAAAAAAGACGGTTCCACGAATGTTAAATAACTGCGACAGTTTGTATTTAATTATCAAAATACAGATTTCCTTTTTAAAATGTATCTAAATGTGTTGAGTAAGTGTTGACATTAGCTCTAATACAGCAATCTATACAACTAATCCTGATTTCAGTCCTCGCTAATCTTTCGGTCAGTTCAAGCATCCATCATGTTTTATCACTTCACAAACACAAATCGAAACAAACAGCCTATATAACCCCATCAGCAGATTAAGAACTAGCGACTGGCAGTGTAACGTAACACACAAAATATTGTCCATTGTGTAAGCCTAGTCGTGTCATCCTGAGATCGAATGTCAGCCCGGTGACGCCACAGCTTATCACGACTGAAACATCGTGATTTTCTCAGGACCTCTAGCTCACTTCCGTGACATTACCTCAAAATATTGTAAGGACTTCTATAATTGATTTAAGCTTTCACGGTGATTCATTGTTAATGCTGATTCTGATTTTGGGTGCTGAAGCCGTGTGGAAGTGGGCGGTGTTATCGACGTTTCAGATGAGACATGTATGGAGATTAGAAATGTGGGCAAACTTTTGGTCGGAAATTTGTACAGAGGAGAGCATTTAGAAGATTTAGGAGTAGATGGAATGATAATATTAAAATATATGTCAATAAAATGGGGTTGGAGGGTGTGGATTCATTTGGGGTCATGATAGGGATAGGTGACGGAATTTTGTGAACACGGTAATGAACCTTCCGGTTTCAAAACCTTCGAGGCTTCTCACAGAGGACTCTGCTAAACGGAATACTGAATATTTATCATCTCTGACTGACAAAAGTGTACCTTAAGACTTTACTTATAAGAATTAGGCGAGGGCTCACATTGGCATTACAATTACGGGTATCAGAACAATAACTGACGTTAGTTCTACTAGGAGGAAGATCATTTTGCAGACAACGGTGCATAATAAACACGTATCATACTGCCACTGAATACTTTAGTTAATAAAACATGATTTATTTATGAACTCGACAAAACTGATGTTTTTATTAGAAAGCAACAATGGCTGCAGCCCATCAAGGCGTGCCTACACCAGGTGACAACACTACCTCTGATGAAGGCAGCTCCCTCGAGCCTCTGAGGCAGGGACAACCTGCTGACATTAGCCATGAATCGACGAGTCAGGCGAAGAAGTTGACCCAGTATATGGCCACACTTTTCGGTAAGGACAGAAACTGTGCAACTTTTAAAATTCATAGTAATTTACTAGTTCCGGTAATATTTTCTACTGCATATTTTATAAAAGTGGAGAGCAAAGTGTTGTGTATGACGGACACTTTAAAACGAACTTAACTCTGTCCACCATTATAATAATATTTATTCAATTTTATTACGGAACTTTAACATTACGTTTTCAGTTAACAAAGGCATTGCTGTCGGCACCGTTAAAGACATACAGGTCTATATATCGATGTATTTTCTTGGGTCTACGAATTACATTTGTACGAGGTGTCCTTCACTATCAGTCGCGAGCGAAGAATACCTTATCGGCCAGTCGTCCGTGTCTATCTCTCTGCCTCGTCTTTCCTAGGAGGCCGGCAGCCTACATGAATAGATTCACTTGAACAATGGGAAACTACCACAATTGTTAGTTTCCTAACTTTATTGTTGTTCCAACTGTTATCGTTGATGTTATTGTTAATGCTATTCCTTGGTCTTGTCGTCGCCGGGTTGGACACTCCTGTGCCTCTATCATCTGAAATCAGATCTAGGATTCAGGATAATGTAGGGTGGACCCGAGGGGCTTTGCCATACAAAGGGGGTAGGCCACTTTCCGAGACTAAATCCTTTCGGGGTACCCCGAGGTAATATCCTCGACACTTACTCCTAACGAGGATTATTTAACCCCTGGGGCTTTACCCTGGAGTGAGGATTTTCCTCAGGATACTTGTTCAAAGGGCATTGTTGCTTAATAATGGCCTTGGAACACATTAGTACAATGACCTACGTAATGTAGCGTGAAGAATATTTTTGGAATGTCAGCGTACTCCAAAGAGTGCACCATTCCAATGTCATCTCGGTTTTGTGCCGTGTAGTCTGGTAAAAGTTTACCGACGTATCAGATGTTCTCCATCATCAGTGTAATTACGGTCTTGATGATGGAGGCAAGTAGTCTTCGCATTCGCCATTTTGAGACCTAACACCTCACACAGTCCGAATAGTCAACACGTTGAGTTTTAGATTTCCGTGTCTGATCTGCCCATCCGCTGCCCAATACAAGTACAGCCAACTGATGTTCTAAATAGTCAACTACATATTCATAAGGTCTGCAACGTTCCTGTCCATTTTCAAAGGTGATACTTTGGCGGAATGAATTTCCATAACTTACAGCATGTAACACTTTGGTTGTTTTGGTAGACGTGCATATGGTTGGGAGAAATTTTCCGGCAAATAAATTCAGCTGGAACAAGACGCCGTATAACAAAAGATTAAAGTTTTTCATTAATATTTTCCTTCATGCGTGATATATGATTCGATCACTCTCGGTGGCCTACACACTATGCAACTCATTAAACAATACGTATAGTCCCCTCCCCCAAGATCCTTTGCCTTCCGACCTATTCAGAAGCCTCGTGTTTGATGTGCAGTCACGCTGGGCGCCATGGCGGTAGGGACTGTTCTGGCGTGGACGTCACCAACGCTGCCCGAACTTCAGTCCGCGAACAGCACACTGCCCATCACTCCAGAAGAGGGGTCGTGGATTAGCTCCCTTGTGGCTGTGGGAGCGATTGTGGGGGCCGTACCAGCAGGCTACTTCGCCGAACGATTCGGACGCAAGCTCGTCATATTGGCACTGTCCGCACCGTTCCTCTTGAGCTGGGTTCTCATAGTAGCAGCCAACTCTGTTGTACTCCTGTATCTTGCCAGATTCATCGCCGGCATCGCAACTGGCGCCGTCTCGGTAGTGGCCCCTATGTTTATCGGGGAGATTGCTGAGAGTTCCATCAGGGGCGCTCTGGGATCTTTCTTCCAGGTCATGCTAACTGTTGGGATTCTTTACACGTACATTATCGGTGCTGTCGCTGGCTACACTTGGCTAGGAACACTTTCTGGAGCTATCCCTGTGGCGTTATTCATAACGTTTTCAAGAGTACCAGAATCACCAACCTATCTCATGAAGAAATGTAGAACTGAGGATGCTAAGAAGTCATTGAAATTCTACCGAGGTTCATCTTACAACTTTTGGAAAGAGTTGCAAGAATTAGAGAAAGACATAAGCGAATCTACACAAGAGAAAGCGTCCATAAAGGATTTAGTTTCTTCAAGAGGGACAAAGAAGGCACTGGTCATTTCTTTAGGTCTTATGGTCTTCCAACAACTTAGTGGTATAAATGCTGTGATATTTTACTCTGTCGACATTTTTGATGCTGCAGGAAGCACCCTGGATCCAAAAGTTTCTGCAATTATTGTTGGGGTAGTTCAAGTAGTGGTGGTAATATCCTCGACACTTACTCCTAACGAGGATTATTTAACCCCTGGGGCTTTACCCTGGAGTGAGGATTTTCCTCAGGATACTTGTTCAAAGGGCATTGTTGCTTAATAATGGCCTTGGAACACATTAGTACAATGACCTACGTAATGTAGCGTGAAGAATATTTTTGGAATGTCAGCGTACTCCAAAGAGTGCACCATTCCAATGTCATCTCGGTTTTGTGCCGTGTAGTCTGGTAAAAGTTTACCGACGTATCAGATGTTCTCCATCATCAGTGTAATTACGGTCTTGATGATGGAGGCAAGTAGTCTTCACATTCGCCACTTTGAGACTTAACACCTCACACAGTCCGAATAGTCAACCATCATCAGTGTAATTACGGTCTTGATGATGGAGGCAAGTAGTCTTCACATTCGCCACTTTGAGACTTAACACCTCACACAGTCCGAATAGTCAACACGTTGAGTTTTAGATTTCCGTGTCTGATCTGCCCATCCGCTGCCCAATACAAGTACAGCCAACTGATGTTCTAAATAGTCAACTACATATTCATAAGGTCTGCAACGTTCCTGTCCATTTTCAAAGGTGATACTTTGGCGGAATGAATTTCCATAACTTACAGCATGTAACACTTTGGTTGTTTTAGTAGACGTGCATACGGTTGGGAGACATTTTCCGGCAAATAAATTCAGCTGGAAGGTAGACGTGCATATGGTTGGGAGAAATTTTCCGGCAAATAAATTCAGCTGGAACAAGACGCCGTATAACAAAAGATTAAAGTTTTTCATTAATATTTTCCTTCATGCGTGATATATGATTCGATCACTCTCGGTGGCCTACACACTATGCAACTCATTAAACAATACGTATAGTCCCCTCCCCCAAGATCCTTTGCCTTCCGACCTATTCAGAAGCCTCGTGTTTGATGTGCAGTCACGCTGGGCGCCATGGCGGTAGGGACTGTTCTGGCGTGGACGTCACCAACGCTGCCCGAACTTCAGTCCGCGAACAGCACACTGCCCATCACTCCAGAAGAGGGGTCGTGGATTAGCTCCCTTGTGGCTGTGGGAGCGATTGTGGGGGCCGTACCAGCAGGCTACTTCGCCGAACGATTCGGACGCAAGCTCGTCATATTGGCACTGTCCGCACCGTTCCTCTTGAGCTGGGTTCTCATAGTAGCAGCCAACTCTGTTGTACTCCTGTATCTTGCCAGATTCATCGCCGGCATCGCAACTGGCGCCGTCTCGGTAGTGGCCCCTATGTTTATCGGGGAGATTGCTGAGAGTTCCATCAGGGGCGCTCTGGGATCTTTCTTCCAGGTCATGCTAACTGTTGGGATTCTTTACACGTACATTATCGGTGCTGTCGCTGGCTACACTTGGCTAGGAACACTTTCTGGAGCTATCCCTGTGGCGTTATTCATAACGTTTTCAAGAGTACCAGAATCACCAACCTATCTCATGAAGAAATGTAGAACTGAGGATGCTAAGAAGTCATTGAAATTCTACCGAGGTTCATCTTACAACTTTTGGAAAGAGTTGCAAGAATTAGAGAAAGACATAAGCGAATCTACACAAGAGAAAGCGTCCATAAAGGATTTAGTTTCTTCAAGAGGGACAAAGAAGGCACTGGTCATTTCTTTAGGTCTTATGGTCTTCCAACAACTTAGTGGTATAAATGCTGTGATATTTTACTCTGTCGACATTTTTGATGCTGCAGGAAGCACCCTGGATCCAAAAGTTTCTGCAATTATTGTTGGGGTAGTTCAAGTAGTGGTCACATATGCCGCGAGCCTCATGGTCGACCGCGCGGGACGCAGGGTATTGCTGTTACTGTCCGCAAGTATTATGGGCCTGTGTCTCGCCATTTTAGGTCTATATTTTTGCCTCAAGAACAAAGGCGATGACGTGTCAGGCATAGGTTGGCTTCCTCTGATGTGCGTCACCATTTTTATCGTGATGTTTTCTCTTGGATTCGGACCATTGCCATGGATGATGATGGGCGAAGTGTTTGCACCTAATGTGAAAGGAGCAGCTAGCAGTATAGCCGTCTGTACCAATTGGACACTGGTGTTTCTAGTAACATATACTTTTGGGAAACTTGTTGATGGGTTGGGAGAACATACAACGTTTTGGTTATTTGCTGTAATTTGTGGCATGGCAACGGTTTTTATATTTTGTTTAGTTCCAGAGACAAAAGGGAAGAGTCTGGCGGAGATTCAACGCATTTTGAACGGTAACAGCAACCCTAAAAATAATGAAATTTTATGAAGACTGATTAATAACTAAAATATTGAGATGCCGCCTCACGCTGTGTTCCAAAACGACTAATAATCTACTTTAGAAATAACTAAGAACGGTTCTCACGGCGGTAAAGACGTCGATGTTAATCTTGTGGGTAGTAAAGCCGTGTGGACGTTTCAGTGAGTAGCACTGCCTCCCCACAGAGTCTCACTATACGATATTTGAGGTTCTAGCGGCGGTGAAGATATTGATGATAGTCTTCTGGGTAGTAACACCGGATTAAGACACTTTTATATAACTTGTGGATTATGGGAAAATAAGGGGGGAGAACATTACATTTGGAAACGTATTGAAAAAGATAATGAAGACATCAATAACGAAGTTTGTGTCGGACTATTAATTACAGGGTACTGCAACCTCAAACACGATCTTTATCAAGGTTACATAAACTATGCTGCGCTGCGCTGTAGTACATGAACATAGTAGGAAATATGCATACCATAGCAATAGCAATAACAACAAAAACATACATAAGTATTTCACATAAGGACCAAAATCCATAAACAACAAAAAATTATGTTAAACATTTATCTATTATAGAGATAATCATAAACCATAATCATACGTTGTGTAACAAACATAACGAGCGGAAGGATATTTTATGAATGATAAATTAAGAAAATAGAGGGGGAAAGGCAGTCAGATTTTGCACACATGCCTTGGTTCCAAGTATTTTCTAAACTCTACACTGCACCTTATATTTTTAATTACAATGTGGGGAGCGAAGGATTCAAACTACAGTCTACTTTTATACCTTCCTGCCAGCATGAATACACTCGTTAAATCTACACTTTGTTAGAAAACTACATTCCATGCCAAAGTTATTCCTATGGGCTGTGATGCCGTAGATAAATAAAATATTTCGGTGAAATAATTTCTTCGTTCTGATGGCAGCCGTGGCAACGAATACAGCACGTTTCTGAGAAACGTAGATAACTATGTACAAGTCCACACGGCCTCGAAATCGACAAATAAAATGTCGACACCTTTACTTCCATGAAAACGAAAAATCTTATCTCAAATGTCACGTCATGCTCTATGACAGTGGTATTTAACCTACTTTGTTCGCGTACCCCCAGACATAATTTCTCTTCAACTTTGTACCCCCAAAGTTGTTGGTGTATAATTCAAGTTATATGTAGTATATATCTACATCTGAAATAAATTACATTACTGATTATTCAGTGTTTATCATAAATTTCACGTACTTCCTAAGATGTCTTCGTGTACCCCAGGTTGAATACCACTGCTCTATCGCAATACTTACCGAATCCCACATTGTTCTAGACCACAAAATTTCACTTCAAAAACAACTTATAGATTCTATTTTCCACCCTTACGATATTACACATTTCACCATAATGGTTACCATTATGTAATTCACAAAAGGAAATTATATGCTTAACTAAGTTCTTTTCACTTCCGTATGCATTCTATTTCCAATTTTTTAAATGGATTTTGCTAGCCAATCACATCGCGTATGGATACCAAAGGTGCTAAGTCATTGACTAGTGTTGCCGTTATTGGTCAAACCATAGCAAAAAGTACTCTTTACATGTATGAGGTAACTTTCATAGTAAGTAGAAGCACCGATTATTATGGTATCATTTGTGTTACCACTGTGAGTTTAAACAACCATGATTTGTTTGCAAACGGTTACAGACTGTTTAGTACTTTCTTTTCAAGTTCAACCTGAAACCAGGTGTGATGGACCTATAGATATCAGGAAAGAAATATAACATCCTAAATAGAAAGAAATTTTAATGTAAAACTGTATACACAAAGGAAAAAATGTATTAAGAATATGACTTCCTTTCTAGTCAGGGAAATACTGGCTAGCTATGCAGTAACGTTTGCATGTCAGAGGACTTGTCCCCATGCTAAGCATACTGACTATCAATGAAGATGACTCTTCTGGGAGCCATTATTGTTGTTCTTTTCTACTACATCTGTTATTCAGTATAATAAAATGATATCACAACATTTCAGGGGCTGGCTCTACCCTGTCTTCAGGTGATAAAACCTTCTCTGATTGGTCCACTAGATTGAGGTTAATTGCAATCTCTGGCTCAGAGACACCCTCTGGAATGTTGAAGGTTCATTTTAGTGTACCAAACAAGTGATTAAGGCAGCTTGTTGGCATTTGGCAGGCAATATGCGAATAAGTTACATTGCACACTGTAATTTCTTTCAGTTTCTTCAGTTAAGGGAAATGTAAAATATCGACATCATTATTAAAAAAATCTTCTACATTACACTAATACCAGACAGGTGTCAAAATGAACCCCCTAACTTTGGATTGAGGGTAAGACAATGTGCTGTTTGTTCAGGGCTTGGGCACACAATTTTTAAATAGTTTCTTAGTGAGGTATACATACTTCAGAGACAATGAACAATTAAACTGTAAACCGTTTCTTAAACTTCGTACTTGTTCACCTATGGATATGATTCAAATATTTATCATGTAATGTGGGCAGCTCATTAGTAATGGTTGATAAACATCTTCTTCTTTCCGATTTAACAATGTTTGTACATTTTCCGGTACCCTTTACGGGTCACCAACTTTTTCAGTTGGCTTGATCTATGGACATTCGGTAGGACTCCTTGGATGACGGATCGGCCCACCGCTGGGCCTTGATTAACACCTTTAATTTTAATACATTTTTCTCTTCAATTATCTTGCTTGAAAGTTAATTTGTAGACTTATAATTAGTACTGGACTGTTACTAGATGCATGCCATGTCTAAGGACTGAATGTCTGATACTTGATTACAGGAACTAGAAAATGTATCCTTTCTTCCTTATTAAACATATATTTTGATGCTGTATGCACTAAAAATGAAATTCACACTTCACTTCTCTTCCATGGATCCCATTTGTCTTGGATAATTTTAACTTATTTATTTATTTAATTTTACGACTAAGCTTGCATACGTTTCACAATTACATGCATAGATAGACTTCTCGTACATTTGAAGACAATGCCCGGCAATGTTAACTCAAAAATGGGTAAAACGTAATGGATTTATATTAAAATATAATTGTTTTATACATAAAATATACTTTTCTCCTTAACTTGCCAAGAACATAAGAGTTTTAAAATTACGTATGATCTGAATGAAAACATGAAATTAACAGCATAAAATGTACAGTTATTTTAGAACTACGACAAAAGTGATTAGCCACAAATAAATGAATTGCACTCCAGGTACTAGCTGTATTATTGATAATATTTATCTAAATGAAGTGGTAGTAAGGAAAGAAGGGTAGACACGGTCCGTTAATTCCAGATTATATCATCATATATCAGCTTAAATTAATATTATAGCATAAAAAGGCTGTTTCAGGTATTAAGAGAAATGTTTCATTCACAGGTTATTTAATGTTGCTTTAACTGCAATACAGGTGAAACGTAGAGTTAATGAGACATGACAGGGAGTCAGGACGATCTAGAATGGAACATCTATGGCTTATTTTAAGGAAAGGCATTGGTCCACAGGAACTGAGGAAAACCAGAGAAACCCTCCATTAATACTGCAAGTTCTCTGCCAAGATCTGAAGCATGTACCTCCTGAACACAAATCAGATATTTTACTGCTTCCTGGACTGAAAAATAAAGTGTGATTCAACAGAACATGTCTGTTAATACCCCACAGCACTACAGTTTCTTGTATTCTGAAGAGGATGTTATAAAAATTAACATATTAATTACACTCTATTAAAGAATTTAAACAACCAGTAATGGCCATATCAAGGCTCTCAGATGGCTCCCTACAGGCCATATTTACCTCAATAAAATTGTAAGGCCAATAGAAATTTTAGGATTAAAAAAATTCCTCCTGTAAAAGACTATGAAAAAAAAATCATATCCACAATGGATATGTATATACATATATAAAACATACTGCAAAAACAGTAAACATCAAAGGCAAGTGTATAAAAATTCATTATCATTGTTTCACTACTCTCACAGTATATCTAGAATCTGGACATTGAAAGTAAAGGATATACGATGACAAAAGACAGAAGAGATAAAACTAATGAAGTGCACAGCAGCGTATTTGACCACAGAAATAATTAAGATATTTTAAAATAAACAAGACTGTTAAAAGATTAAGACTGAAAAATACTAGGGACTCATACAACTTCCTGAACAGAAATAACTGAAAGGCAAAGACATTAATGACATTAACCTTTGCCGTTATGCATTGTAGCATATGTGACGTCAGCTAGCTGATGTGACAGTAGCATACAGCTAAACCATAAAACCTCAGGATTAAACTCCAGTTACCGAGATTCAGTATACACTTC